ATTCTGAATTTCTGAATTTCTGAATTTCTGAATTTCTGAATTTCTGAATTTCTGAATTTCTGAATTTCTGAATTTTTAAGTTTCTGAATTTTTAAATTTCTGAATTTTTAAATTTCTGAATTTCTGAATTTTAGAAATTTGTGTTGTCTAACTTTTGAGGATTCTCCGAATTTTCGAGTTTTTTGGGATTTTTGAATTTCCAGATTCTTCTGAATTTCTGAATTTCTGAATTTCTGAATTTCTGAATTTCTGAATTTTTGAATTTCTGAATTTCTGAATTTTTGAATTTCTGAATTTCTGAATTTCTGAATTTCTGAATTTCTGAATTTCTGAATTTCTAATTTCTAAATTTCTGAATTTCTGAATTTCTCTGAATTTCTGAATTTTTGAATTTCTAAATTTCCGAATTTTCAAAAAAAGATTTTTTTTAAAAATCACCATTTGAATTTTCCGAAGTTTCAGAACCTTCGAATTTTGGAATTTTTAAGTTTTCTGAAGTTGCAGAGTCGTATATTTTTTTCATTTTGGAATTGGCTGANAAATTCAGAAACTTCGATTCTCACAGAAGTCTCAAATCTATTATATACTAACTTCAGGAATTTTTGAATTTTCGAATTTTTCGAAAATTTCAAATTTCTCATAAAACCCCCTATCGAACTGTGTAATTTTCATGAATTTTGAACAATTCCTAGTGGAATCACACCATTTTTCCCGAAATTCTCAATAGAGCGCACTTGCCAAAAACTCACAATTACTGGAACACAATCCAGATGCTTTCAAAAATTCACATCCTTTCCAATAAGTCGTCCGAGATTCCCCAATTTTGTCGTTTTTCCCTTCATCCTCGATTAATGGCTCCTTTTCCAGACGGCATGGCTGCAAATTTTTTTTTTTAATTCTCAATGGAGCGCATTTTCCTATTGTACCTGTCCTACAGATGTTTGAGGCTCCGGTGGTGGAGCACTAACGTAGATATGATGGGTCTCGCGATTCTCCCCATCTTGAGTCATCTGGAAAAATTAATTAAGAATTTGGAAATTAGAAAATTTGGAGAAAAAGGAAAAATAAGAAAATTGAAAAAAATGAAAGTTTGGAATTTTAGAAATCTACAAATTCCTGGAAATCAAAAACCGAGAATCTAGAAATTTCCAGATTTCTTCAAAAATTGGAAAACAAAAGAAGAAATTGAGGTTTTCCAAAAAATACAGTAATATAGAAATGAAAAATTCTAGAAATCTGAAAACTCAAACTTTTCGAATTTCAGAAAATTTTGAGATTTCGAAATTTGGATATCGAGAAGTCTGAAAATTCTAAATAGGCCAGCTTTGATTCAAGAAAAATAAGAATTCCCAGAAATTTAAAAACAAAAAACTTCTGAATTTCAAAAATCTGAAAATCCAGAGAAAATTCAGAAAATACCATTTTTCAAAATAATCAAAAACTCATGAAATTTGAAAATTGAGAAAATTAGAAAATCCGATTTTCCAGCAAATACGAAATCTCGAAACCTGAAAACATCCATTTTCCAAATTTCAGAAATGTTCGGAAATTTACAAATCTGGAAAATCAAAAAGGCAGAAACCATGGGTTTCAGAACAATCGAAAATTTCTAGAAATCTGAAAATCGAGAGAATTCCATAAAACTAAAAATTCCAGAAATTTGCAAGATCGAGAAATCTGCAAAGCGAGAAAATCTGGAAATTCATAATCTTTAGAATTCAAAAAATCAGAAATTTAGTAACTCTGAAATTCTGAAAATTCGAAAAAAATCAAAATTTCGAAGAATTTCAGATTTTTCAGAGTAAAAAACCCAAATTATTTTTTTTCGACCTCCTCTCATTTCATGTCAAAATGATGAGTAAAAAAACGAGGCGACAAAAAAAAGTGAAAATGAGAACAAAAAAATCGTCGATGATTTTTTTTCGAGGTAAACAAAAATAGCGTAGAGAATTGAGAGACGCAGAGAAAAGAGAAGAAAATAGAGAAAAGAGCCGTCACACACACACGATGAAAACTCTTCTTGAAAACAAAAAGAAGCGTCGTCGTCGACGTCTTCTGAAATTCTAGTGAAGGAGGCTATTACGATTTCTTTAGGAATTCATGGAAATTCGAAATTAAGAAATTCAGAAATTCAGAAATTTAGAAATTCAGAAATTCAGAATCTCAGAATCTCAGAAATTCAGAAATTCAGAAATTCAGAAATTCAGAAATTCAGAAATTAAGAAATTCAGAAATTAAGAAATTCAAAAATTCAGAAATTCAGAAATTCAGAAATTCAGAAATTCAGAAATTCAGAAATTCAGAAATTCAGAAATTCAGAAATTCAGAAATTCAGAAATTCAGAAATTCAGAAATTCAGAAATTCAGAAATTCAGAAATTCAGAAATTCAGAAATTCAGAAATTCAGAAATTCAGAAATTCAGAAATTCAGAAATTCAGAAATTCAGAAATTCAGAAATTCAGAAATTCAGAAATTCAGAAATTCAGAAATTCAGAAATTCAGAAATTCAAAAATTCAGAAATTCAGAAATTCAGAAATTCAGAAATTCAGAAATTCAGAAATTCAGAAATTCAGAAATTCAGAAATTCAGAAATTCAGAAATTCAGAAATTCAGAAATTCAGAAATTCAGAAATTCAGAAATTCAGAAATTCAGAAATTCAGAAATTCAGAAATTCAGAAATTCAGAAATTCAGAAATTCAGAAATTCAGAAATTCAGAAATTCAGAAATTCAGAAATTCAGAAATTCAGAAATTCAGAAATTCAAAAATTCAGAAATTAAGAAATTAAGAAATTCAGAAGCTAAGAAATTCAGAAATTCAGAAATTCAGAAATTCAGAAATTCAGAAATTCAGAAATTCAGAAATTCAGAAATTCAGAAATTCAGAAATTCAGAAATTCAGAAATTTAGAAATTCAGAAATTCAAAAATTCAGAAATTCAGAAATTAAGAAATTAAGAAATTCAGAAGCTAAGAAATTCAGAAATTCAGAAATTCAGAAGCTAAGAAATTCAGAAATTCAGAAATTCAAAAATTCAGAAATTCAGAAATTCAGAAATACAGAAATTCAGAGAATTTTCTGAAAATCGAAAATTCCAGATTTTTAAAAAATGACAGAAAAACAAGAAAAAAAGAAGTGGATGAGTCAGAGAAGGAATTCTCCGAGTGAGGGGAAAATAAATGAGAAAAATAAAGAATCACGGGTAAGAAGAAGAAGTAGTAGTACATGGAGATAAATATATGAATGAGAAAAAAAGAAGAAGA